AGGCCATTCAGGTTTGACCTAGATCGCATCCCTGATGAATATACAGTAGAGGTGAAGAATAGATTCAAGGGTCTGGATTTGATAGATAGAGTGCCTGAAGAACTATGGACGGAGGTTCGTGACATTGTACAGGAGGCAGCAATCACCACCATCCCAACGCACAAGAAATGCAAGAAAGCAAAGTGGCTTTCTCATGAGGCTTTACAAATAGCAAAGGAAAGAAGGAAAGCGAAAGGCAAAGGCGAAAAGGAAAGATTTACCCAACTGAATGCAGATTTCCAGAGAACAGCAAGGAGAGATAAGGAGGCCTTCCTGAATGAGCAGTGCAAAGTAATAGAGGAAAACAATAGAATGGGAAGGACTAGAGATCTCTTCAAGAAAATTGGAGAAATCAAGGGAGTGTTCCATGCAAAGCTGGCCATGATAAAGGACAAAAACGGTAGGGACCTAAAAGAAGCAGAAGAGATTAGGAAAAGATGGCAAGAATACACAGAAGAACTATACAAGAAAGACCTCGATGTCCTTGACAACCACGACGGTATAATCACTGACCTCGAGCCAGACATCCTGGAATGTGAAGTTAAATGGGCCTTAGAAAGCATTACTAACAACAAAGCTAGTGGAGGTGATGGTATTCCAGCTGAGCTATTCAAAGTCTTAGAAGATGATGCTGTTAAAGTGCTGCCCGCAATTTGCCAGCAAATTTGGAAAACGCAACAGTGGCCACAGGATTGGAAAAGGTCAGTATACATTCCAATCCCAAAGAAGGGCAATGCCAAGGAATGCTCAAACTATCGCACAGGGGTAGGTAGGAAAACGTATAAGCAAGAAACAAAAGAGAAGAGTAAGAAAACGTTTTTCTTTATACAAGGTTAATACTATCACGTAATAACTAGTAAATATGTAAGTATAAAAGAATATTTTGTTAGTCTTTAAGGTGCTACTGGACTCTTGCTCTTATCTATTGCTACAGACAGACAAACACGGCTACCCCATCTTGATCTACTGAGCTGAAGTATAAGCTATTGCGTCCCAACTTTCTCTTCTGCATGCACAAGGTATTTTTCAATTGGGTTGACACTGTATATTCCTCTCTGTTATGTGGATGTTTTTAAGGAAGTAACAGGGGAAAAACTACACCTGTTTCAAAATGGCCCCAAAGGAATCACTGGTGATTGTCTGTATTTTGATAATGGTCTGTGTTCTGAAAATGCACTTGAGCCCAGTGCATGTGATTAATGAATCATTGGCATGGTATCAACACGCCACTGAAATTGGGACGTGAATGTTCAAGTACACTGAGCACAACAGTCAGTCAAATCCTGTGCTTTGCCATAGCCCATGCACACACATGAACACATGAAGCTGCTTACACAGCGTTAGACCATCAAGGTCAGTATTGTCTACTCAGACTAGCAGCGGCTATCCAAAGTCTCAGGTAGGGGTTTTCGCATCACCTATTTTACCTGATCCTTTTTTAAACTGGAGATGCCGGGGATTGAACCTGGGGCCTTCTGCATGCCAAGTGGATGCTGTGCCACTGAGCCACGGCCCTCCCCCAAAGTAAGTCTTCCTGCTCCGGAATCACTAGGTAGTAGACCTAGATGGTAAGCGTAAACCTAGCAGTAGCGGTTGCTCCCAGCCTGAAGAAACAGGACAAATGAAGGTAATGACACAGGGAAGGTATGAACCAGACTTCTCCACAGGAAGAATTCTGGTCGGATTAGCCAGGAATAGCTCTCTCTTTTGAGTTGGGAAATGAAAAGTCACCTTTGATTTCAGATATCCTTGCCTTCTTGAAAGGATGTGCAAAATGACACATACAGGCTGAGTTTTGCCTTGAAGTGTTTCCGTCATAACTCAGAGAGAGCGAAGGAACCTCGATATGGCAAGAAGGAAGACTCAAGAAGGGTCGCAGCCTGGGTAAGTTTTATAAATTAGGAAGATGTTGGCCAGGAGAGTGCAGAGATTAGGAGAGAGAAAGGCAGAGCAAAATTCTTGGGTTGGTTCCCTTCGCTTACCTTGGTTCTTAAGACCGGGGTTGGTTGTTGGTAGGTGAAGAGTCCTAAGAGGATGCCGACCAGAAATGGACCATATCGGCAATAAGGTTTCGAATAATACTCCATGAAATACATCACGGTGGATGTTTCCCTGCAAGCAGAATGGAAATGATTGGACTGGAGTTTTGAATGAATGTTAATAAATAACCGCTCCCAGTAAATGACATTTGGCAAAGGACTCTGATGGACTGACTCCACCGATGTAAAACAAGCATTCACCAAGCCTGAACGTTACTGCTGGGGTGTATCCCAAGAGCCCCCCTGACCTAGATAGCCCAGGCTAACCCGATCTCCTCAGATCTCAGAAGCTAAGCAGGATCGGCACTGGTTAGTATTTGGATGGGAGCCCCTCAAGGAATACCAGATTGCAACGTGGAGGCAGGCAGTGGCAAACCAGCTGAACAACTCTTGCCTTGAAAACCCTATGGGGATGCCATAAATTGGCTGTGGCTTAACAGCCAAATATATATATATACAAGAGGGGGACCCGCGATATTCGCGGAGGGGGGGAGAAGAGCTCCGTCTCCTCCACCCCCCCTCCGCTCGATCTCCCCGAGGCGGAGGCGCGGGGGGCAGTGGCGAGGCCGGTCTTCCCCCCCCCCGCCGTCTGGCTCCGT